TTTCGCTCAGTCTTCCTTTCTCTCTTACCTTCTCTCTCTCTCTCTCTCCCCCTCCCTCCCTCCCTCCCTCTCTCTCTCTCTCTCTCTCTTCCTCGTCAAACTTCTCCTTTTCCCTCCCACGCCGGAACTCCCGGTTTCCTGCACTTAGCAAGATCAATACCAGCCAACGAGGCTTGAAAACATGCGTCAACATGGTCTTGCACTGTTTGTACGTCCACATAACGCTCAGCGCGCCCGGCTACTACCACCGCACCAAACCCCGCCGGCCACTTCGTCGACCCTTTCGTCTCTTCATACCGCGCTAGTGCAGGTGAGAGGCGGCAGGAGGTGGAAGGTAAACGCAGCCAAACAATGTTCGATAAGGCTACGTATGTATTAACGGTTTGACGTTGGTATTAATTATAATTATACATCACGGCATTTTGCAGCCCTTGTATGATTAAAAACTAAAGGGTGTTATCGAAATGGGAGAATAGCTAAACAACGTCAACATGTATTGTGGATATGGTTACACATGGTAGGAACTTAATCCCATTGAAAATAATATTTTCACGTTGCTAATAACTACTTAGAACAGATTACTGTAGAAATGGGAAGAAAATATAATTATGACTACAATTGTAATTCAACTGTGTCGAGTTATATGTAACTCAAAATGTAGTAATGTATAATGCAATGAATTAAAATAGGACGATTTCGATTTAATCCGTTCATTCTGGATAAGAGTTACAATAATAGGCAACACAAGCCTTTGGAATACCTATATAAAGAGCACATTAAAATAAAATAAATATATAGTAACAATTAAAATGTCTGGATTTAAGAAAAATCTTTGAAACTCTTTGATTGTATAACTTTTTTAATTATCGCGGAGGTTAATATTTGTGTTTCCTTCACTTTGATTATCACAATTTTTCTACCAGTTGCAGCCCTTTGCTACATCACATGAAGAATATAAACTCGTTTTGCAGAAAAGCGTTGGCGAACAGAGAGAGTTTTGCAGAAACTTTATGAGGAAACGAACAAGAATTGCAGTAGCATTACTCACTTTAAATGCAAGGTTTTGCGAGTTTTCATATAATTTAAATTATTCTTATTCCGTCTCGAAATTCTGTCTCTCGTTTTCTCTTGATTCTTGACTTTGTCGACGCAATCAAAGATTCTTCAAATTTGTAGAATTTTCCAAGTCCTTCAGGACATTGGATAAAATTCAATTATCGTTTTGCAATGTCCAATTCAGTAAAAACATTTCGACCTGTGTGACTGTGCTCCATATTTTCTCATTTGATAATTTTTAAAATAAAATTTCCAACACACGAATGTGCATCGTTATCAGAAAGATACATCTCATTTCTAGCGCACATTCTGACAGACAAATAAATCGTGCACCTGCTTACGTATCGCAGACTGACGAGAAAAATTGTGCGCCCCGCGCACAACACATAAGAAGATACGTAAATGGCGGCGAAGCGGTGCGGTCGGACGAAAGAGGTGACGAAATCCCATTGGAAGTGAGAGCTCGCGAGCGGCATCGCAAGCTCTCGCCGTCGGAGGTGTTTAATGTTTCCCACGTACGAGCACGTGGCCGCACGTTAAAAGCGTTTAATGAAAGGGCGTCGTCGCACTTACGCCGTTCGACCCTCCCGAGAGGAACGAGCGGAATAAGAAGAGTAAGAAGAGAGAAAGACGCGCCCAGGGAAAACGTTGCGTGGCGAGGCGAGGCGAGGCGAGGCGAGGCGAGGCGAGGCGAGGCGAGGGCGAGGGCGAGAGGATCGGAGAGAGGAGGACAGGTGGGTGGAGCGAATGTCGGTAGAGGAAGCGCACACACGCCGCATTCGCACATTCACACTCACCTGGATACGTGCCTCAGGTAATCCGATCTTCTCGGCGAGACGCTCCCGTGCAAACACGTCCGGGTAATGTGTCCGCTCGAATTCTGAAAAGAAACCAGTTTGCAACAAGTGCTCGTTATTTAGCCGCGTCGTCGGCATTAATTATCGCGGTATAAACGAAGCCGGCCATCGCGTATTTTCTCTCAACCGAGCGGATCCCAAAGGCCGAATGGAGGAGAATTCTCCGATTCTCGATATGTCGATATACCCGATTGCTTTTCAGTTTATCACGGACAAATATGTGAAAAGTTTCAATTCGAAGAAGCTCAAGGAGCAAGAAGAAAAATTATGTAATTGCCAACATTGCGAATTGCGAGGTGCATTACACGTCCAATTAAATTTTTAAAGAAGGGAAAATGAATTGAAACAAGAGTTCATAGTCGAGGAAAAGCACGTGATTTCTAAGGTCGTATATATTATTATATACAGTATAAGTGACTGTTAAGATTAAGATAATTTTTCGGATTTTCCACTAACCTTTCTCGAGGCTGTCTATCTGCTCGTTAGAGAAGGAAGTTCGGTTGCGCTGCAATTTCCTCTTCAGCCTCAGCCGCACTTGCGAGTCCTCGTCGCCAGAGGAGTTGTGCTCCGAATTACCGTCCGAAGTTGTCTCCTGCTGATGCGACAATAGAGACCCGGTGTCTGGAACAGGAATGAATTACCCTTCCTTCAGAACGTATTGTTTTAGCCATCTTAAAGATCTCACAAATTTCCCTCATTTACCATTAAACAATCAGATTAATTTCATGTTACATTTCAAGTATAATCATAAAAGTCGTCAAGAGTATAATCACAAAAAAAACAACTATCTCCGTCAGTTTCCTAAACTACGTTAAGCTTGAATTTTCATCATTTTTCCATCGTTTAAACTGTAATAAAGATTCCATGAAAATCCCTGGCATTTTTCTCGTATTGTAAGAAGCATCGATCTAATTATAAGAGAGCCTGCCGTTTCGCGTCAAATCAATCGGTCGATCTCGTAACACGATCCACCGTTCTCGAGATTCCTAGACACCGCCGCGCGTTCAGGCGTGCGCGACCGGTCTTCGGGGTCGCGTCTCGTGTTGGTGCGTCGGCGTTGGTTCGTACGCGCGCAAGGGTAGCCCCTCGTCAAGCCCCCCGTGGGCCGCGATTACTTTCCGCCTCCGCGCACCACACCCTCGTCTCTTTCCATTCCTCCCGGTACCTTCTCTACATCCCTCCGTTCTGTCCGTGTCTGTCCCTATATATATATATATATA